AAACTTGAAACCCTATTTAACAACTTCCTGTGTCCTCAAAAGTCTTGTGAAGATAAAACTACTAGCTACGATTGAATTATCAGGATCAAGTACATACAAATCAGAAAAGTTCATATAAAAATCTATAAATAATTCAGTATACAGGGTTATCGTGAAAAAGTATTTTTTTAAAACCTTAAAATTGCCATGGTCGGGCCCGTCAGTTAGGTGGAATCATACTCCAATTTGAGGAACAGGAACAGGCCAAAATTCATACACATTAAATAATAAACAAATCTCAAATCTCATCTTGGTAATTTTATGGTTTTTACAAGTTCAACATTTTCACACCGACCCTGGATGTGAAAAAAATTAAAAACAAAGGAAGAAAGGAAACAACCAAAAAGAAAGACGAAAAAAGTTAGTTAAATAACTTTGAAAAACTTTCAAATAGATGTTAATAAATTTCTAAGAAGTAGTTTTTCAGTGCGAATCATAAAGAAGAGAAATGTGAGTATTTGGCTTCCATATGTAAAACTGTATTTACATTTAAAAATAACATTTAATCATAAATTTAATGACTTAAGAAAGAATTTATTTTAAATAATAGGAATAATTTTTCTTTTATTAGGTGAAACAACAAATGTTTACTTTTTTAATTTTATTTTAAATTAATTTTTACTTACTTAATTTTACTTTTAAGGTTAGGAAGTTAAGAAAAAAGGAGAAATATATAAGTGAGTGAGAGTTGCATAATTTTTTTTTTAACATCAGAATTTTCCTACTACGAGATATTTATCAGCTTATAACTAGATTTTATGTCGATTTACTTTTAAATAAATTACCACAAATAGATACGATTTAATCTTCTCAATGACTCATCAGATATCGCTGATATGTTCTTTCACAATCGCACAATTTATAGTATTTAATTTATAATTGGCGAACTGATAGTAGTCAGGAAAGATTAACTGATAGTAGTCCATTTCTGTTTTGTCCTTTGGCAATAAATTCTATTATATGTGAATAAAAAATTATACCCCATTTCCTGTATTTCTGTTTCCATTGCTGGACTTCGTCGGGGTTATCCCCTCTGGATTGAGGTTGTTTCTGGGCAGGATTGAGGAGGGATTTACCACAATCTGAGATCAAAGCATCTCCAGCATATTCGACATGGTGTCCAGCCATTATTGACAAAGCCCTGCATGCAATAAACTATGCAAAAAATAAAAGACAAAATAGTTGAAAGAGATCTGCAGGCTCGTTCTTTCCTTCCTATCCCGAGATTTGCGGGTACTTGGATCTAATCGAGCTCTGGCTATACCAACAATATTGCACTTATGAAGGCATTTAAAAAATAATAATAATTAATTGAAAAAATCTTAATTTTACTATTTTAGACTTTGAAGTTATGTTATTAGAATATTATTGTTTTAAATAAATGTAAATGTGTTCTAACATTTGTATTATTGGGTTGTCCGGAAAATAATGCAGGATTTTGGTATTAAACAAAAAAAAAGAAACTAGTTACTTTAAAGCAATGTTCTTTAATCAAAATAATTTCCCNAATGAGTAATCCTGTAAACGTAAACAGAATATTTTATATAGATTTTTTTTAATGAAAACTTAAAATCCTGCATTATTTTCCGGACAACCCAATATATGTGCATACTAAAGGTAAACCAAACCCAACCTAACCTAACCCAACACACTCCACATTAACACAAAATTGATAACATGAAAATGGTCACACAACAAAATTTTATGTATCCAGTCCACAAACATATTCATGTTAAAAAGTTAGATAAAAAACTTATTTAAATATTTTAGGATCAAAGGATTAGGATCACATCAATCAAAACTTAAGCTATGGTGGCCAAGATGTTGCGTTAGATAATGAATTTGTATTCAGAAATTTCATTTGACATCCATCATAAAGGATGGAAAAAATTGTGCACAAAAGGATTTTAAATTTAATAAACCCTGATGCAAAATAGATAACAATCCATAAATAAATCTTCAAATACATAATATATACAGGGTGAATTGCTACTCGTGCTACAAACTTCTCCAGTAGATTCTTCACCCTAAAATGAACAAAAAAGTTCATATTGACCATGGTCCGATTCTCAACCATTTCAGAGTAATTTCGCTTTTTATCGATTTTGAAAGATATCACGTCCTGGCGTCGGAAAATCGTGATATCTTTTAATCTAAACATTTCTCTTAAAATCTATAAGCACCGTTGAAATCCCCGTTAATTTTTAGAGAGAATCAAAATCATAATTCCATTGAAATTTTTTAATTTAATTTAATGCCCATTTAGTATGTAATGCTTAAGAAGTTTACAAACAGCTAGAAGGTCAAGGAAGAAAGACCCAAACGTTTTGCCACCTTCATCTTCTTATTGAAAAATTAACGGGGATTTCAACGGTGCTTATAGATTTTAAGAGAAATGTTTAGATTAAAAGATATCACGATTTTCCGACGCCAGGACGTGATATCTTTCAAAATCGATAAAAAGCGAAATTACTCTGAAATGGTTGAGAATCGGACCATGGTCAATATGAACTTTTTTGTTCATTTTAGGGTCAAGAATCTACTGGTGAAGTTTGTAGCACGAGTAGCAAGTCACTCTCAAACATTAGCAATCCTTGAACCACCATTTTTTCTCTTTTTGTCATCAACATCTTGGTCTCACAACCACTAAATAAGAAAATGACGAGTGCGTTGGAAGCGTTATTAAATCAGGTAGTTTTCCTCAAATTTGCTGCCTTCTGAGACTAAAATTAGAAACTCTGGATTACTTTATACACTTTCCGATTTACACAATTTTCCACTCTTTTTGTAGTTCTGGCTGAAATAAAACACAAAAAATTAGCCCAAACATTTTGCCACCGTCATCTTCTTATTGAAAAATTAACGGGAATTTCAACGGTGCTATTAGATTTTCAGAGAAATGTTTAGATTAAAAGATATCACGATTTTCCGACGCCAGGACGTGATATCTTTCAAAATCGATAAAAAGCGAAATTACTCTGAAATGGTTGAGAATCGGACCATGGACAATATGAACTTTTTTGTTCATTTTAGGGTGAAGAATCTACTGGAGAAGTTTGTAGCACGAGTAGCAATTCACCCTGTATAAATTTAATGTAGAATTAAAACTAAATCAATAAAATAAGAGAAAAATAACAAGACATAAATAGGAAATCTTATCTGCATATGTTATTGCCGATTTATGTAAGCTCAGATCTGCACATGCATGTACACATGTATGGACACAGTTGAGCCTACCATTTCTTGCATTTCTCCAGCATTTCCAGCTTTTATACTTTTCAATAAATTACTGGCAGGTCTTGAGAATCATCAACCCTGAGTATTGGCAGTCTGGGGCCAGACCTGGGTCCTATCCATCCGCCACCGAGGTTGGGCTCTGGGTAGAGGCTGTTGGAATAACAGCTAGGTAATTTCAACAATTAATGCAATCGGTTCCTAAATCAATTCATACTCTCACTCTTCATATATTCTTTTCTATTTACATACCATTCACTCAGTCAGGGTTGTGGAGTACTCGATATTCCTCCATCACACTTTACACCTATTATATAACTAACCTGATTGAGGGTCACTGAATATTCTGTCAACAACACTCTCAACTACACATTCATGCCAATAAATACATTATCAATATACACTAAGAAACATAAGAGAAGATATCTATAAAGTAATACAGTAAAACAGTCCTGCTTCCTCTAAAAATCGGAACTAAGTTTCTATACTCATAACCTGCCCAAGCACAATTCTCATACCGGTATCAACAGCTAGTTAATTTCAGCACTCAATGCAACCAGTTTCTATATCTATTCACTCTCCCCCTCTAAATATATTCTTTTTTATTTACATATCATTCACTCAGTCAGCGTTGTGGAGTACTCGATATTCCTCCATCACCCTTTAAACTTATTATGTAACTAACCTAATTGAGGGTCACTGAATTCTGTCATCGCCCCTCTCAACTACATATTTATGCCAAATAAATGCATTCTCAATATACACTAAGAAACACAAGACAAGATGTCTATAAAGTAATACAGTAAAACAGTCCTGTTTACTCTAAATATCCAAACTTAGTTTTTACTTATGCCGTGCTCATACACTTCTCATACTGAGTGGCATTCCTACATATTCTCTACTTGGAGCCAAGAAGTTGCACCCTTCAATTAAGTGGGACGCATCGAGCAACCTTTCCCTACATGACAGACACATATATCAACCTATCCTTAATCAGGTGAAGATGGCATTTCTACAAGTCAGTTTCTCAAAGTCCTCTTGATACACAAGAGTGTCTCTGCCAATCTAGCTTACTGACGCTGCCACTTTCTTTTAATCATGTTTTGATGAACTAGATTATCGACCTGCTGGATACAAGAAGTCTTTTCAGAGGATCTTCGGAAGAGGTAACCTCTTCCGAAGATACTCTGAAAAGACTTCTTAATCATGTTTGTTTTTATTGGATTTGTAGCATCAGAGGGCAAGTTCATGCTGATCTAGTCTGGATGTTGGGATGCCCTGGTCTTCTTCGTGTCTGTCTTTCCGTATCCCTGCGACTTATGTGTCCAGGTACCCAGACAACAAACACTTTTGGTTTTTGTCCTGTTAATAAAGCTAATTTACAAAAATAGAGTTGTCAGTATGTCTGGTTCAATTTATTCATCCTGTGCTTTGTCCTCTAATGGTCATTCTTGTTAAACAAATCTCAATCCTGGGTCAGCATAGTAAGTAGACTTGTACAGCTTGTTCCTCTAATTTTATGTCTAATATTTATGATGTAATTGACTTTTTTATCTGTTAATGATCAATCTAATTGCAAGTGGATACAGGTGACTAACCATGTTATGTATCCAATCTGTTTCATGAGAAAGAAATGCTCCCAGGTAATTACATCATGAGAATAAACGATAGAGTCAACTTGAACCGATATGTTGACCGCTTGTTTTTATCATGCGAAGTGGGAGTCTACTACTTGTTGATTCGTGCTTTTATGCCTCCACCCCGTCTCGTCTCAAAGGAGTCTTTTTTTTCTTTTTTCCGTTTTTCCCATTTGAACCTCGAATGTTTCTCTTTCACAGTCTTTACCCGGCCGGTATGTCGAGGGCGGATTTGTGTGAAATTTTGTTTGCGTAGGGATTTTTTTTGCCAGTAATTGACCAGAAAAATGGCAACGAACGATCCTTATCACATGTACGTCTACAACATCCCTTATGCTACAAGGAAGGCCCTATGCAGAATCCTGGACCTAAACAACTCTTGGGAAGAACTCGGTAAGGACGGAAGATGTCAGTTTCAATTTGATTTCAGCCTTTGACGACGTAGAAACTCATGAAAACTGATCAACAAATATTGCAATTTATGCTGAACAGGAGGAAACTGCAACCGCTCGATTGCAGTTATTCGTATGACATTCATTTTTGGAGTTTCCAGCACCGAGGATGTCTAGAAAGAGAATGTTTAAAAACAGTTATTTTTTATTAATGTTTTGTCTGGTAAAACTACCTACTTATTTTTAAATTTGGTTCCCCATGAAAACATTATTTACATACCTTAGTATTCACTCAGTTCAATCTGAAAAAAAGGGGACAGAAACTAAGCTATTTCAGAAAGCCAAGCAGCAATGAAAACACTAAGCTCAAAGCGCGGTTGACACAAACCCACCCGCTTTTGGGCCAAAGCCCACACAGGTGCCCTTTATGCAGAGAAAGGTGGCTTGATGTGTCCCACATAATCTGGGCGTGTCATGTCAGCTCCAGAGAGTAGGCATGCTGTCAGATTTAAAAATGGTTCTCGAGCACAGCAGTCGGTTCCTGGATCCTCTGTTCTGTTTTTAGAGGACGTGGGGTTTTTTCACTATATATGAAGAAGAAGAAGAAGAAAAGTAATTTTATTCTGGCACTGGTGTCCCCTAAGAATAATATACATGAAATAAATAAAGGAAGTTCCCTCTATGATATTTTTTTTAAATTTATTACTATTATTTATTTACATATTTACATTTAAACACCAGATATCATGTCTTGAGGGGAGTCGCCAACTGTTGTTGGTCTCCCAGTTTTGTGCAAGGTTAGTCCTTTATGAGGAGGTCCCGAGGCCATCTCCGTTTAATCGCCGGACAGGATTGTAGGGATGGATTATGTTGGACATGGATTGGGCTAGTGGGTTGGGGGGAGGAGAGTTTGTCATGGAACTGGGTGAATTTGGATGTGATTAATTTATTTACAAAGGGTGTTTTGTGGTCATTGTGGACGGTGGCGTTGGAAGCATGGCAAGGAGTGTTAATTATAATGCTAAGGACTTTGGATTGGAAGGATTGAATTTGTAGTATTAGCGGTGCCCCACGGTTCTAGTCCATATGTCCAAATCGGTTTCAGTAGTATTCTGTACAGAATTAGTTTGTTTTTGGTCGACAAATTAGATTTGCGTCGGAGTAGTTTATAGAGTAGTCCGAATCGTGTATTCAGTTCCTGTCTTTTTATTTGGATGTGTTGTTTCCGTGTCAGTTGGGAGTCAAGATAGAGTCAAATCCCTGTGATACGTCTAGGAAGGCTCCCGCACAGTATTCTTTTCACTTGAGGGATGAGGATGTATGGTCTACAACGCAAAGCACCTGTTGAGTTGTGGAGGGTTGGGAGCGAAAACCAATCTATGAAATTAAAAATAAAATGAAATAAAAATCTTGGCACAATGTATATAAGTAAGGCAAGCCATAAGAAAAAATAACAAGAATATTAAATAAAAATATCAAATATTAACATAAAGTCTCTGTTTGGAGGGAGAGGAGGTGATTAAACAAGCGGGATTTAGAGGAGGAAAAGGAGCCGGCGTGACGAATAGAAAGAGGAAGGGAGTTCCAGAGTTTAGGGGCTCGGATCAGAAAGGATCTTTTGAAGGTATGGGTTATATGTTTCGGAAGGTCAATGAGTTGGTGTTACCAGTGTGATGTGAGGAGTTGAATTGGAGGGATTGGGTGATGTAAGGAGGACGACAAGTGTGAATGGACTGGAAAAGAAAGGAACCTAGGATTGTGCACGGAAGGAGGGGTAGAGCAGGAAAGTTGGGAATACAACTCTGACACCTGGGGTGCCGAACACAAATCTTACGCAACAATTCATAATCCGCTTCAATCATGTGCTCCCCCCTCTGAGAGACCACCGTATGCCACACAGCTGTAATCGAGGAAGGGAAGATACAAGGAATTTAGGTGGAGAAAGGTAAGAGAAGCAAGGACCGACGAAATAGGCTGAGGGAGGTGATACAATGACAGGAAATTTGGGAAATGTGAGGATGCCAGGAAAGGCTTTGGTCAATGAAGGAATTAGGTAATAGTACTCCACCGACTAATCAGAATGAGTGCAATACATGAATGTATTTATTTGTGCTACTGACTTATCTAATTTAATTAGTGTCAAGGTAGGTTAGAGTTTGCATGGGTTTGGGGCTGAAATGACCTAGATGTTGATAGGCCATCTGGCTTAAGGGGAATATTAGGGACCCAGCCACAGAACAGGAAGGGTGAATTCCTTGCTTTAATGAGACTCTAAGCTTAAAGATGGTGCTGAATTGCAAAACTAAACTAAAAAGATTAGGTATGCAAAACAAAGTCATGGCTGCTAGGGGGTGGAGGATGTAGTTGGGATCTGAGGTACTCCTGCTCCACAGGATAGTAGTCAGTATAGTTCCCTCCCGAAATAAAAATATTGATTTAAAAGTCATACCAACCACAACAAAACATCACTTATGACTGACATGAAATATGACAAGTCCGATCCAATGTGAGAGCTCAAATCATGTGACTAAGCTGTCTTTTTACATATTGAGTACAATCTTTATAAAGAGTAAACAGTGGTGTCCTCTAAAAAAACAGGTCGCATTACAATCCAACCAATTATAACACTTATGCCAATAACATTAATGTAAATATCAAAAAATAATGGGAAGGAGGGGAAAAAACCTGTGCTGAGAACAGCTACTGGTACACAGACGGATCTAGAACGGAGGAAAGTGTAGGAGCAGGAGTATTCTGTCCTGAAACCAAATACACAGAACCCATGGAGAAATTACACCAATAACTTCCAGGCTGAAGTCCATGCAGTTGAGAGATGTACCCAGTTGTATCTGAAGAAAGGGTACAAAAGCAAGAATATACCTACCATGTCGGATAACCAATAGCTCAAAAATCATTAGCTCAAGGATGGTGCTGAATCGCAAAACTAGACTAAATCTATTTGGCATTAGGCCCAGAACATGTTGGAATAGAAGGCAATGAGAGAGTGGACACCCTTGCAAGGGAAGGGTTTGTGATACCACTTATAGGTCCTGAGCTCTTCTATGTCCATGGAGATTCACACTATCAATTAGAATCTTAGACAAAAAGGCAAATTCAAAATTAGGAAACAGTGGAATTCACTCGTTGGACACAAACAAGCAAGTTTGGAGGAAAGAAACAACAGAATGAATTAAAGGAAGCAGGAAAAAACTTTGAATTTTGACAGGACACTGAATCTTCTGCAGACTGAATGGGCATCTGAAGAAGATTGGTATAATCCAACATGGCACATGCAGATTGTGCAAAGAAGCAGAGGAGAAACCAACACACCTACTAACAAACTGAGGTGCTACATATGTATGCAGGTGGAAGTGTTTTGGGATGTACAATGTATCTGTAGAAGAAATCCAACCACTGAATCCAGTTCTAATAATCAAATTAGCATATTAGACACCCCGAACATTACATCTATATCTACTCAGTTAGCACAATATAGCTAAAGCATTTGACACTGTTAACCACTGGATATTATTGTTTCAACTCCACTCGTACGATTTTACTGGTAGTATATCATCTTGGATTAGAAATTATCTGTCTAGGAAGCTAACAAAAAATGTACATTCATATTTGTTCACTGTATGTTGACACTCATTATCCAATGGGCAAACGTTCCAAGCATTACTATTGATTAGTACAGCAAGCTTAACATACTACACACAAAAATAAATGTCTGATGTGACATTTGCTCGGTTTTTGTAAAGAGGACCGAAAAACTATTGTTTTAAATTTCTTATAATATCAAAATTGACATTAAGTTGATAGATTTTTTTCTTATGCAGGTGGGGAAGGCATGAAATTTGACGTTGGGACGTTAAACAGGATCGGTCAAGCCGTTCTCAGAAATCGTTCTCCTACCGATGAGTTATTGACTCTATGGGGAACAAAAAACCATACTGTCCATGAACTTTTCGGCCATCTGGCCAATATGCAGCACTATCAAGCCATGTCTGCAATAAAAAATTTAGGTAAAGCAATTTTTCAAATTATCTATTTTAATTTTTTTAAACTATATTAGTGTCTTTCTGGTTGACATAGTTCATGAGTATTTCCAATCCCTCCAAACCGCCATCACTTATTGGACACACTGGCCAGATTTTTAACCCAAAGTTTAAAAATTAAAAAAAAAATTATTCAGAAATCGTGAGATGCGGTCTGGTGTGATGTAGGTTTCAGAAAAACATTTTCTTTATCGTGGCAATGTTTCAATCTTTATTGAGATCATCTTCAGGGCCTGGGATTTAGATAGATAGATAGATAGATGTAATAATTCAGGGTATGGTATACTGCGCCCTTTAAGAGCTATTGTATCCCCTGTGCTCTGCNAAGACTCTTCTTAGGGGACTGATAGGATAGAGGGAGAGGGGTTGGTGATAGGAGTCTATTTAGTGAGGAGTGGTTAGGAAAGTGAGTACCTCACTTGGGGATAGGACACCAGAGCCCCTTTAGCCTTTTCGCACCGTACCATGCCGTGGGGATCAGTGTGAATCCCCCCGTCAGGACGGCGACGAACGTTTCCCGGGGTTCACTACTTGGAAGCGGGGTTGGTCTTTGAACCCCGGGCCTGGGATTTACAAACATTGTTTAAATTTAACAAATACATGTAGGATGTGGAAAAAAGTGATTTTATACAATGTATTTGTTAAATACTGGTCTTTGGTTCGTCTCTCCATTAAAAAACTTCTAAACCACTGTTGACCCACACGTTCTCAATTAGTGCATTAACACCATAAATTCCACATTAATTTTAACAAGCATCCGCCACTCTATGCCCAAGATTGATCTCTTCCAGATCGTACTTGTCGCAGTTTATTTTAGAGTTCTAGTTTGAGATAAACTACCCCTTTCTTAACCATATCTTTCAATAGGGTCAGCGGGCAATAAAGGATTGCTTTGATAAGGATGAAAGTGAAATTTGAAAGGAAAAAAAAATTATGCACATACCCAATATTTTTTTTTTTTGTTTCTATAACCTAACTAGCTGATCTACAGTCCACAAATAGGTTGTGCAACTGGAAGTCGTATTCCCTTGCGTTTTTTAAAATTTGATGTATGATAGACTTTTCTATCTGACAAGCCTTTTTAATCCAAATTTTTTTCTATAAATACACAGGTAAGTATCTACTTGGGTTCAACATGCAATTTTTTTTACTGTGTCTGTTAATTGTTTTTCTTATCCTAATATAATCATTAATTTTTCTTTAGTTGATCCCAAATACCACTGTCTAATATACGAAGGGGAAGAAAATTTTAGCCAAATGCGTGCTCAAGAAATACCACCAGGGCCAACGCAGAAATGTCAACAAAATGTTCATGAGCCACCACTTTCACCACCACAACACCATGTACGTCCATTAGATCCGTCACTTTCACCACCACACCTAAAACATGTAAATTTATATATATATTTTTTTAATATGTTTTTAATTATAAATGTACAAGCAGTAACAATTTATTTATTTTATTAGTGTGATAAAGACGTAAGGGGAAGTGAGTTTAATATATACACGCAGAAATGCCAAGAAAGAACTCCAGTCAAAATGGTCCCAATACCCGTAGAAGATGTCGATATGAAAATAAGCAACATTCAGCCCTCTCACATTCCGGTCTCTCCTCCACGCCATTCTCCGCATTCACATTCTCCCTGTTCACCTCATTCTCCCCTTTCACCTTGTTCACCTCACACTCCTCATTCACCCCTCACCCCTCATTCACCTCACACCCCACATTCCCCCCACTCACCACATAACCAGTGCTCACCATGCACACCGCATACTCCTCATTGTGTTATGTCACCGCAATCTCCTCAGTCCCCTCAACAAGATGGTGCTCGAGCAATTAGAAAAACTACAGGTATTTTATCGTATGGGTGAAATATACAATATTGCTAGAATATAATTTTTTTTTTTTCATTGTATGGTTTATTTATTTATATATAAACAATATTAGTACAGGAACTGAAATAAAATAAAAAAAAATTGAATTCAAACAAATGTACATATACAGGGTGAATTTAACTCCCCCCCCCATTTTTTTTCATTTTTTTTAGCAGGGCATTTTTGGAAAAAACCCAATGTAAACTTTTATTTTTTGTCTAGTTTCAATGGTTAAAAAAGTTTTGAACTACATTTTCAGGATAGCAGGATATTAATAGGGGCTTAAATATTTGAAATAGCAAGATACTCATCAATCTACATTTTTGGAAGGTTTTTTTTGACACCGAATTCAGTAGTGCAAACATTTTTTAAGTTGAAACAACCATTATCAAATTGTTCGCAAAACACTATTTCTAGACATTGTTTCTTTTTGTGAAAATGCAATCTTCAATCAATAACCAATTAATGTATTTATCATTTTAATTGATAGTAATTTAATTAGGACCCCAATAAAAAAATATATGGGGGAACAAAAGTTAAAATCACCCTCTAAACTACACTAATTTTCTCGTTCTCGTTGACTTTTATATGATTTTTTGATTGATAAATCTATAAATGTACTGTTCATATCTAGCTATTAGAAGTACTTTTCTTACAAGGGGAGCCTACAGATTTTAACAAAACTCTTATTAGGTGATACTAGATCGAAAAATATTAAAAAGGACACATGTCCAAGCATTCTTCCCGATGAGCCCTAGGAGCCGGGAAAAAATATATTATTATTTATTTTATTTTATTTAATCAATTTTTTACATAAGATAAGATAATATGCAAGGTTGAATTAAATGAGATTATAAAAAATTACAAAAACCTAGATGCTTTTCAGAAAATTTTATTTTATATCTCCAGTTCTGATTTTTTTGCGGAAGGAAAAATTATGCCATTATGGAAGCAGTTCCTGTAGTTTCCTCTAGTAGATTGGAGGAATTGTTTCCAAGTTATCAATATTTTGTGATTTTCAGAAAAAAAATCAAAGGCATGGAAAGGTGAAAAAACACTGTTTTGACTTTTCCAAAAACTTGCATGGAAGGGTTTTTTTGAGTGCAGAATACAAATATCAACTTTGTTTCTTGCTAAAAAATAAATAAAAAAAGTTAAATCTACTTTGTAAAAATATGAAAAGTATGAATCCATGGATGAACAAACACGAGCTATCTACTCAAATAAAATACGTAATTTTTTTGTGACTGAGCTATGTAGCAAAGTCTAATTGTTGCCTAAGTTATTTAGGTTTAAAAAAAATCAACTGATACCCAATAACCTTGAAATTCATGCACAACGACAGAAAATCATATTTTTTAAAATTATCTAAATTATTTACATTTTTTTCAGCTAGTAGGGCTCATTGGCAAGAACTCTTAGACACGTGTCTGATAATTTTTGACCTAGTATCAGGTAGTAGTTCTTTAAAATCAGAGTGTGGCCTCCCGTTGTTAATAAATAGCTAATTAAAATAAAATTTTCTGTACATTCCTGAATTTCCGGTTAATAGAAGTGTCCGTTTGGGCAAGTTTAACTTAATTACTTAATTAATTGTTATATAGAATTTTTGTATTAATTAAAATAATAGTTTTTCACACTAATATTGAGTTATGTATTTTACTGCAATGGTCTTACAACAGAAGATTCATTCATCCATGCAATTTTGATATTAATTTTTATTATGTATTAATAAGTTTGTACAATTCTCCAATTGTATTCTTGTTTTGATTAAAGTATATTTACAAATCTGGCAAAATTTAGTTTAGGTATTTTAAGCTTTGGTTGGATCTTGAATGGAATGCCCTGCCTCATCAGTCTGTTTATCTGACATTCCTCTGTCAGATTTTTTTCTTTTTTTTACTCAATGAGAATTACTTCATTGGGACAGGTGCAAAAATCATCAGGAATTTGATGCACCAAAAGATGATAAATTTTCAGAAGAAGGATTATTTTCAGAAAAAGTTGAGAAAGGTAGTGCAAAACAAAATGAATAGCAAATTTCAAGTATTTGCAGTAGTTAAGTCAGCATTTAAAGTTAATTGTATGAAATTTAAAGCTCTTGTTCAGTATTAACTTTTCTACAGTTTGACGTTTGATTTTGGAACTTAATAATTAGCCCGTAGAACTTAGCTTTAGTTAACTAATACAGCCTGCTTGATCATAGCTTTTAATTAAGAGATATATTTCTTCTCAGATAATTTTTGTTTGAAGGATTCACCAGCACTTTGTGTTGTATATTTATTTGAAACGATTAGCTTTTTTTCACTTACTTTTTCAAGGTGCTATCAATCTAGCTCAGACAGCATTCTTTTGTCGCTTGTTAGATATCTCACTAGATTTCTAGTTTATGCCCACAGTTCATGGATGTTTTGTATCTCTGATTAGTGCTTTTGCTTGATAATGAAATTTATGTGTGGTTAAAAATAAGAAGGAAATTTTATAAAAATAAGTGTATGTTAGAGATAAACTGCTTTGTTTTTTACAATTAAATTAAATATTGACTTTCAGATCAATCTAATGCAGCATTAGGGGAGAGTCCTGCTATAAATTATAAAGAGTTAGAAAAGGCGACAGGAGGATGGGATAGAAGAAAATTGTTGGGGAAAGGTGGTTTTGGATCAGTTTTTAAAGGTGTTTGGAAAAACACTCATGTTGCAATAAAACGTCTTGAGGCTGAGGTAACATTTTTATCCATAATTGTCTTGAATTTCCGTTTAAAAGAATTTTCATTGTAATAAATAAATAGAAAAATTTGGATTATTGTTGTACAATTTTTTTTTTTTTAATTTTAGAATGGAATCGACTTAGAGGAAACTTGGAAAACATACAGAGAACAATCACTTAGAGAACTCAAGTACTTAAATTCATGCAGGCATGACAACATATTACCACTATATGGCTATAGCATTGATGGTCCACACGACTGTTTAGTTTATCAATATATGCATAATGGATCGCTGGAAGACAGGATTCTATGTAAGGTTAGTGAACAACCAGGTTGGTTGAGCTTTTTTTACTTACCAGATTCTGCAAGTATTTCTCAGCTTGTGTTCATGGGTATTTTAATGAGTTTTACTATTCTTGCCATTCTAGCCCAGTGTAAATAATCTTTTTGTGTTCATATTTTTTCCTACTTTCAGCATATTCAGTAGTGTGCTTAATTATTGTCCTAGAAATGGGGCCACAGATTCCACCTACGAAAGTGCTGGAAAAAAGTGCATTCCTTGGTCTTTCTAAATATGTCGCCCGACTATAAAACTGTTCTTACAGTATAATTCTGACTCCTAGTCTAGTGTTGGCCACTTCTCTCAAATCATACTCCTTCTGGCCAAGTGACAATTTCCCATCGTCGCTCTGTACAGAAGACCTGTTTCCTTTCCATCAGGATTTCCTTTTCTCGTGCTTCGCCTGAGGACCACATTGGTCACTCTACTAAAGAGCAGCTGAGGATCCGCCCACAAATTCTTCCCGTAGTGAAACTGCGTACCATAATAAAGATGAGAGTATGCCGAAGTCACCTGGGTGTAAGTTAACCCTGCCTGGTGGTTGTCCAAGTTTCATAACATCTTTCTCTTATTACTCCCAATTAAGTCCTTTTTTATATATTGTCCTATTACTTGTAACACTAAAAATTTGTGCCCCAGGGGTTTTGAAAAAATTTGTCCCTTTTACCTTTCTACTTTTTTTTTCTTTTTTTTTTTTAATTTTGGGTCCATTGCTCTTATTAAGGCACCCATTTATTTTTTTTTTATTTTTTTTTTGTCAAAAGTTTTCCAAATCAGCATATCAAAAAGACGATTTTTTAAATATATATTTATTTTTGCTTGGATAACTGAAAAACAATATTTATTTACTATACTATTTATTATAGTATTTTTAAAAATTTTGTGATCACAGTTTGAAAAATAAATTCTACTCACATAAACAGGTAAATAAATAATAATAAATAACTTCATGACAAACTATTTAATGAGGGTTTAGCATCACTCTACAGCGCTACATATCCACAATCCAAAGAAACTATTGGACCAGTTATTAACTTTCATACATGTAGTGAATAAATAAGTTTGACATACATAATGCTGAAAGGACGACAAGAAGATCCTAAAACCTCGGGTAATGTCCCTACTACTTACAAGAGAAACAACGGCTGGTACTTTGGTTCCGACAAGTAGAAACCATATTCTTCATGGCAGGATTAAAGCAGGAACTCGTAAAATTCAACTGTGCCATTACGGCTTTGGATATGGACAACGTGGTACTAATATCAGATATTCTGGAAAAACTGGGACAAAAAAACTGTCCAATTTGTACCAGAGGACGCCTTGAAAAGTTATTGGGCGGCAAGAGGAAAAGAAATTGATTTGTGGATAAAGGATTAAGGACAGCCACACATGCTTTCCTATGAGTAGATGATGTTCGACCACCTTTCACTCCACTCTACGAAGGACCCTTCAAGATTTTAAGCAGGTCGGAAGGAAGAACTGTTTCTATGAATCATATTAAGCCACAAACTTTAAGCGGACTCATCCTCCCCTAAAAGCAGAACGAATCTCAGCTCCACCATCTCCGACAACCACCCTCACATTATATCTTATAAGATAGCAATTCCAGCAGCCACACCACCCGTACCGGGCATGCAGTATGCACCCTGGCTAAATTCCTTTCTTGAAAAAAGGGAGAGTATTGTAGCACTACTCTACAATGCTACCTAGCCACTAGACAGAGAAGCCATTAGACCTCCTAAATAGCTAATTTAAATATTTAGTGTTATTTCAAACTGTAAAACAAATAATCTGTAGTCAGTTAGTTTTTCTGTTTGAATGTAGTCATGAGCAATTAAACGTAATTTGTGTACAACTTATTTGTGTAGTTAAATCAAACAAGGGGATAAAATATCTGAAAAAAACCCAAACTGAGAAGGAAGTTCAGTATAATCAGTCAGACGATCAGTCTTCATGTCAATAGATTATACTAGCTTAACTTGACAGGAAAGAGTACCCAAATCATCTACCATAGGGATTTATGTCTTCTCTTTGTAGGAACAAGGGTTCCAATACCAGCAATCAAACTATCAGTTGGCACAAGTCTTCTTAAAGGTGTATTCTTCAATAAAACTTTTGATTGTGTCCAACCTACACATCTCAGGCAAAAGCCCAATCCTTATGGAACTTATCCTAAGGTTAAGGAATTTATCCTAAGCAACTTGTAGTTTCTTATATTTACTTTTGCAAGTTGACTGCAAGCAGCACAGGAATAAATATGAACTGGTCTGCTCATCGTTTTGTATATAAACAACTTGTTATTCAGATTCAAACCCGACTCCCTACATAGTAGTGGAAACACGAGTTTAACAGCTTTTTTGCTATTTGCAACTGATGTCTTCTTTTCATTTTGTTCAAATACCCCTGTAGCCATCTCATTTAATTTTATTATTAGGATTTTTTTCATGCTTTTCTGTTAGATCTGGTTTTATTTCAGTCTTCTTAAAAGTTTTACTTTCATTTAACATAAATAGTTCAATCTTTGTGGTTTTCCAGTTGATTCTGCAATGTTTATACGATTTTTGTTATTAAAAGTATTTTATAAGAATCATGCTCACAAGAAACATTTTTTCTTCTTCTTCTTCAATTACTCAGTTATTCATTGCTTTTTGCCAGGATGGGACAAAACCGTTAACTTGGAGTCAAAGACATTCAATAGCAACAGGGACTGCAAGAGGTATACAATACTTACACACAGTTGGCGAAAAGCCTCTAGTTCATGGTGATATAAAAAGGTTAGAGATATTTGATTAATTTTATACTCTTAAAAAAAAAATAATCCTTATTCCTGTTTAAAATGAATTTTTGGTAGATACTTAGACAAAATATTTTAAATTTTCAGTGCTAATATTCTTCTAGATCCGTATTTAGTACCCAAAATAGGGGATTTTGGCCTCGCCAGGGAAGGCCCAATGCAGCAGTATACGCACGTTAAAGTCAGCAGAGTCCATGGCACAAGACCTTATTTACCAGATGAATTTTTGAGGGGGAAAAAGTTCTCAACTAAAGTTGATACGTACAGCTTTGGTGTGGTATGTACTACATGTTCTATGGTGTGCTGTTATGTCGAATATGTACATAATTATTTCTATAGGTCTTGTTTGAACTTGCGACTGGTTTAAGGGCCTACGATTGCAACGCACCAGAAAAATTTTTGGTGAGTTTTTAAAAATATTTAAAAATCACAACACGTTTTGATTTAAAATGGCACATCATCTCTAGATGCCACACAAAACACTTAAGCCACTTCAGAGGCTTAAGTGTTTTTATATAAGAATGTTTTTGATTATGTTATGTTATTAGGTAGTATTGCAATTAAAAATATTTCAATGGTGTTATAAACTAATAAAATATTTTAAATATATTTTTCTGCCACCATGTTACTCAGTTCTTTTTAGTTGTATTTATTTTTAAGTAGCTCATACAACTCGTGTTCTGATTTATTTGATAAAGAAAAATTGAGATTGAAAAAGTACTAATCAAATTTTGTTTCAAAATTTATGGTTTCCAATGTGTAAATTTATTGTGTTTCTTGCTATAGAAAAAAAGGATGGAAGTGTTAACAGAAGATCAAATACATGAAGTTATGGATGTAAAAGCAGGACTTGATGATGGAATTTCATTCAAGACAATGTTTACTCTAGGCAAGCTATGCGTTTCCTCTAGACCTAAAGACAGACCTGAAATGGTTGCAGTCCTTCAGAAGCTGGATTCTATATCAGCCGCTTGCGAAATAGCGGCTCATATACAAGCAGTCCAGGCCCAGGCTCGAGCTCAAGCTCAAGCTCAGGCTCTAGCCCAAGTCCAAGCACAGCCTCAAGTGTTTGCACTACCTCCGGCTCCAGCCCAAGCTCTAGTTCAAGCTCAAGCCCTTTTTGAAGACGATGAACCGGTTCAAGGCCCATCGCAAGTCCGACCTGAAGTGCAAAGTATACCAGAATACTTTAGAATTATTGTCATTTGAGAAAATAACTTGTATCTTTAGTCCAACAGGCAACGTTACCAGTCCAACAGGCATTACCAAGAATTACAATTGAACCTATACCAGGGCCTTCAAATCAACCAATGTGTAATCCTCCATCTCTTCCTCCTGATTCAGTTTCTAAGGTATATTAACTATATAAATTAACTACTGAAATGTAACATAGAATAGATACATGATTTGACTTGACTTTGTATTAGTCAGGCCACTAAACATTTGTTGGCAAAGATCTTGCAGAAAAGATGTAGGAGTAGAAATGAAACTATAATAACTTAAGTTTAAAATGTATAAAATCGCTAATTAAACAAATTTATACAATTGTTTGCATGCACTGTTTCAAAAGAGTCAATCTTTGGTGTGTTCTACATTGAATTCTGTCTAAATTTTCTCTAAAAACTGGTAGTATACTTGCATTCGCATATTTTCTACACTTCATGAAAAAACATGGTTTAATGGATATGAAACCTATCCCATTACTAACCTTACCCTAAGCTAACCCACCATTCATAACTCTACTAACTTAACCTAATCTGTCCCTAACCCTAACCCATCCTAAGAAGACCAATCATTCATAACCCTACTAACTTTACCTAATCTGTCCAATCGTACCTAACCTAACCCACAGTTTACACATGTTTCAGTAAACAGAAAGATAAAATACATTGCTACATGTACTATACCAAATTAAGCTGGTTTTGGAATAACATTTTAAATATTGATGGTTAGAGTTAGGAATGCTTGGTCATCTTAATATAGTTTAAGATAAGGGACAGATTAGGTTAAGTTAGTAAAGTTGGGAATGGTTGATCATTTTAATATGGGTTAAGATGAAGGACATATTAGGTTAAGTTAATAAAGTTATGAATGATTGGTTATCTTAGGATGGGTTAGGGTTTGGTTAATTTAGTAGTGTTAGGAAAGGTTGGTTAGCTTAGGTTAGGTAAGGGACAGGTTAGGTTATGTTAGTAGGGTTAGGAATGGTTGGTTAACATAGGTTGGAGGGTTAGGGACAGGTTAAGTTAGTAGAGTTAGGATTGGTTGGTCAGCTTAGGTAGGATTATAGTTAGAATTAGGAATTGGATAGGTTTCACATCCATGATTCAATGTTTTCTGTGAAGCAGAGAAAATGTGTAATTGGGAGTTTTTCTATCAGCTTTAGAAGTAAATTTACATTTTGATTAGATGTTAAGCATTCCAAAGTGTTGCTCTTGTGAAACAACTGCATAAATTTGTTTAATTTGTGATTTTGTACGTTTTAAAGTTATATACAATTTACATGTAAAAGATATACAGATAAATATATTCAGACTCGGGGTTGTTTTGGCTCTTTGGCAATACTTTTTAGCATTTTTTCACAATAGAAACTAAAAACACTGATTATTTGTACAATGAAGGTAGTATTGAATAATAATGGCTTAATATGTTTGTTATGCTATTTGTGAATACAAACTATCTGGATGGTTGTTCAACCCTTGTATGCCTTTTTCTTTTCATTAGGAAATTTAACATTTATGTTTAATAATACTTTTATTATTTTTAGGAGGAAGATGTAGAGTGTGCATTACCATTGATATCCGCATTAGGAATTATTTCAGAAAATTCACAAGTGACTAAAGAAAAGAGGGAAGAAACGACTTGAAATTGCAAAAAAAAATCTTTATGATAACTCATTGTGACGATAACTGTTAAATGTTGATATGTTATAATGTTTTGATTTGTTTAAATGTTTTAAAGATGGCTGTACACTAATGGATGCCATTAGTAAAATAAATTTATTATTACTTTTTCAAGTTGTTAATTATTTCTAACTTTTAAAAACTGTCTTAAACTTACCATTGTGCTTCAAAGCATTTATATAGGTGGGAAAGTTATCTTTCTATTGTCAGTTACTACAGATCTAGTCAGATGTAATATTTATGGCCAAGAACAATAATTACAGAGAATCATCATCCTTTCACAACTAGCCAACTACATTAAACAACTTTTTTTAAAATCCCCTGGAAAGGACAATACCACACAAAAGAATAGAGACAATTTTATAGATGTATTAGTCTGCTATAATAGGCAAACTATTTGAAAAATGTATAAAAAAGAGACGACTCCCATATGCAGAGGATTTAATACCTAATTCACTAATTAAGAGAAGACACTCAACAACCCGCCAGGGGCTACATATATGGACTCATCGATGACAGTACAGGGATTTGACAAAAGTACGCGCTAGCAGCCTTCCTGGATTTACAACAGTCTTTTGACCATGTCTGGCACAGTTTTATTATACAAACTAAAACATGCGGTAATCCGATTATATTTGTACGAAACAATCAGTTTATTTATTAAAGACAGAACATTTAAAATCAAGATAAACCAACATCTCTGAGAACATAAAAACATAACCGCAGGAACCCCTCAGGGATCAGTGCTATCTCCCATCCTATTCAACATATTCATAAATGATACCCTATGAAGCCATAATATAAATATTGCCACATATGTAGATGAAACATGTTCATATAAGAATCAAAGGAAAAAAGTATATGCTTGAAATAAAATAAAAATGCAATAAACCAGATAGCAGACTGTAAGAATTGGAAAATTAGAATCAACTCAAGAAAATGTGATGCAAGGATTTTCACACTGCAATCCTCCTTCACCACCACAACTGCATCTCTGAATCTCCCATTCCATGGTACAATAAGGTTGGGGCTATAAGATATTTGGGAATCCACCTCGTAACTCAACTGGAAGAACCACATAAACACCTTGTTAAAAGGATATATATACAGCTTGGTATGCTACACCCACTGATCGATACAAAAATCCCTACTTAACACATAACAGCTGTTGTCCTGGAACGATACACTAAACTCTTCCACATGGAACGTTGGACGTTATTCCAGAATAATGCACATTTTCTAGAAAATGTGTTTCAAAGCTTGTAAGATGTTGGGGGTATTTATGGTATCGAATTGGTGTCACAGGCCTTTAGTATCGCTTTGGCAACATTATTGCAAAAACTTTTTTTCAATTTGGCCTTTTTGAATTTTTATGATTTTTTGAAGAAAAAAAATTTTTGTTGCCGTTTCTCGGGAGAGTTTACAAATCTCCCATGACCAACGTGTTAAAATAGAAGTCGGCACACTGCTTACATTAGGCCAGCAGTTCTGTACAGCTGCAAAGTATGGGATGCAACATCAAGTTATGTATAAGAAAGATTCAAGCATTTCAAAAACAAGTAATGAGAATTATCACTAATTAAATTCACTATTTTTCGTGGTCGGATTTACCAATTAATACTATTCAATTAATTAAGGTTTTTAGTTGAGCATTATCTCACTTATCATTATCATTATTATCACTAATGCTGGCTGGTTTGTCTGTATCACCCAACTTCACACCAACTCCAAATGCTCTATTTTTGCCCTTTAGATCCGGGGTTTGAGCTGTGCATTGTCAGTCAGTCACTGAACTGTTTTTACTTGAGTTATTTATTAGTTATAAAAAAAACTAACTTATTTATTTTATATATTAAAACTGCAAAACAAAAAAACAATGACATTCAATGGCAAATCTCAACTAACGAGTGAATCATTAAATGTACAAATGTTGTAAATTATCGGAATATTAATAAATAAAATTAGAATAATAAAAAATAACTCCATTTTCATATTTTCGACAACCCACTTTTCACCCCAATCACAGAAAATTCTCTGGACTTTGGAGAAGAAAAAAAAATCACTTCTTTCTTTGAATTTAATTTAACAATTTTAATTTAATCATAACAATAACAATATTTGATTGATTATTTTGTTTACAAAATCATAAAAACTTTAAATATAAAGGGTTTTTTTATTTGTCAACTTTTTATAGCTGTTATTTTTGAAAACAATACACAAAATAATAACATTATAGAAAAAAGAAAAAAACAAATAAAAACAAACAAATGGAATTTGAAATTCCAAGCAAATACTACTACCCCCAGTTGTGTACGTTGGGAATAGGTGTACCTATGCTATTTTGTACCTTAAACCTTCTATAAACAAACATTTCCTAAAAACTGCTACGTATTATTATTTTTATTTTTTAATTAAATATAATGTAGCCAACAGAACGGTAATTATATGTGAAAACTGTCGGTAAAAAGATTAAATACTAAATTGAAAATGATATATAAAAAATTATTTAATGTTTGTAATAATATGTATAATCAAATGAAATTATCACAAAAAATATTTCTTAGTTTGGTAAAATAAATTACCTTTGAGTGGAATGTTTTTCAGTAATTATTAAACAATGTATTCCCTAACCGTGTACAAAAATGAAATCTACATAGAAGACATAACTTCAATTTTTAATATCCATGATATTTAAAATGGAAATGGGACATTTTTTGCTTTAATGTAAAATACTGGAAATAACTGAACTATAATACCTAAGTGAGACAATTTTAGTTATAAAGGCAATAACTCTTTTCTTAGCTTTATAAACATTTAAGAAACTTAATGGAATTATGACTATATTCTTGTTTTTTTGTCCTCAGTCTAAATTAAGAGAGCATTTGAACAAGCCATTTCCTCGATATTTATTTTTCATACAAAATATTCTTATTCTTTTTAGATAGTTATATTATTTTGATAATAAATATACAATGTAAGTGTAAAGTGTTTATCCCCAAGCATGGCAGTTTCTGTTATTTTTTCCCCGTTTTTATTATTATTTTTTTTAATGTAGTCTAACTGTAGCATTTTTTTGATTATACTTTCGCTTGCAGTCAAGTCACTTTGACTAAAAATATTATTACAAATGTTTAAACTAAAATAATGGACAGGCACCAACCATTTTCAACGATATATTCACAAAGGTTACAACTGTGCCCACGATCTGTAATTTATTTTTTAACACTTTTTCCGCAAATCTTAAAGTATTGACTATATTGTTGAATTTTAATTTTTCGTTTTGTGGGCATATGTCAAGATTTTGAGTGGTAAACTCTGTGTAATGATTCCGTTTGCAATTTCAATTTCATCAGTTCGACTTGGATTTTATCAGTTATCGCTTTTCGCGCTTGTTCGGCATTGGCCCGAGCCGCCCTAAGTTCTTTGAGCAAGTTTGAAAAATTGATCGGTTCGCCAAAATTGAATGTCACCCTTTTGCCCGTTTTCAAAATGTACGGCGGCTCGTTCGGAAGGATTTCCTCCATGCCTATATGCCAGATAGGAACGACAATGGGAGTTATAGGAGATTCGTAGATCATTCTTCCGACTCCCCATTTTAACCTAATAAACTCTTTGGTAGTGTTAACTCGCCCTTCGGGGAAGACGTGGACCCATTCGCCTTGTTGCAGTTTCTCAAGACAGAAATTTATTGCATCCTAAAAATTGAACATTTTAGATTAGAATGTATCAAAAATAAAATTGCCTACTAATTTGTATTACTTACTTGATAAACCCCATTTCCACGAATAACTGGGATACATTTGCCTAACATAAAAAAATAAGAGTGTAATTTATTTGTAAAACAAATATCATGTGCTGCCAGGGACCATCTCATTTTACTTCCACTTAGTACATGTCTCCATTTTAAACAACCTAAAATAGAAAAGCATACAGAAATTCATAAAATTATATCGATTATGAAATATCGTGTTGAAATCTGCGGTGGAGAAGAACGTGTAGCTTGATCATCTCCTATCATCCTGGTACTTCTATCCTCACAAATTCGACGATGATCAGAGACAATCAAACTACAAAAAAATTTTTTTTAAACATATTTACAAATTATACTTTTAATTAACAGATATATCATTGATAAAATTAGTTTAAAACATTTGATCATACTTTGTTTCCAAAATTGAACTTGAATTCCACCTGCTTAAGCGACTTGTCAAAAGAATCCAGTGTGACATCTCAAGTACTGTAAGATATCTGTCAGATACCGTACGAAATATTTATTTTTTTAGTGGTGTTTTGTTTATAAATTAAAAAAAGCCTAAAATTTTTGGGTTTTTTAATATAACTGAATTACAAGAAGATTACCGCTTTATTTTTTCAACTATTTTGGCTATTCCTGTTGTTTTTTCAAAACAGACTAGGAATATTGTATGTGATTCAAAATCTCACACCTATTTTTTAAAAATAGTAGGAACAATTTCCTATTTCAGATGTACAATAGTGACATTAAGGTAAGATGAACAAATTAAAACAGAACACTGGGTGTATTTAAAGATATCAAACACTTGTTCATCTTCCAAAATGGAAATTCGCCAAATAGATTTACACGTTAGAATTGCATGGAAAGTAAGTTCTATTATACGGATGCATGGAGGTATTTCAGTTTAGTCAAAAATTCCCATTGCCGATGATATAATTTAAAGATTTTACCTAATCATCGAGCTCACAAATTAGATAAAATCAATAATTTACATAATTTTTTTTAAGAGAATAAAACTGTGAAAGCTTACCCCAGATACCGGGATCATCGAAGCAAGAATCATGATTCGAAACGGTTATTAAAGGGACGTTGTTCCGTCTGTCTAGTAATTCACTGAAAGAGTGCTGGTTGTGGCATTTTGAATTGTTCAACCACCCTGAAACACATTTAAAAAAAATATATATATATATAACAAGATAAGAGAAAAATTGCAATTGCACAAATTTAAAAATATTTTAACTTTCAGGGAAAGAAATTGTAATTTGAGACTTGCAATAAAACAATTTGTTGTGTTACTCTACGGATTTTCTTTGGAAAGCAGTCTAACTGGTTGTGTCATTTTTCGTGTTGGTCTGGGTTTGATATCTTAATTTTTATACAAGTTACAGAAATTAATTTTACTAGGCATTAACACTTTGTACATTGGCTGGTTACAATAAAAACTATAAAAAATTTCTACCAAAACAAATCGAGGATATGGAAAAATAGAAAGGGTAAAAAAGCAGAGTTCCAGTGTTAAAGTAAACGTTTGAATTGTTTCCCTTTATTTTCAATACTTTTTGTATTGTTTTTCAATTTCAATAAACATTACTTTTTTAATTACATCTATTGGGATATTCCAAATTGTAATAATTCTTTCCTTAAGACCATCGAAGTCAACTACCTCAAAATTCTGTTCGCAGAAATGTCGAACTAATTGAGCGGTGGAGCACCATCTTACTGGAGCTACAAATTTAGTCTTATAGCCAGGGGTCATACTTTCAACAAGGTTGGTAATTAGAGTTGATGATGGGTTTTGGTCTGCAAGTCAGTGAACTCATGTTGAATCGGTTTCATGGTCCGATTGACCAAATAATTATTTTCAATTAATTAATCTTTAAGTAAGTTATTGGTTGAGATAAAAATGGCAAAAAGGAGAGAAAGTTCAAAAGGTTTGGTTGGGATGGGAAGTTGGTGTCTGAGTAGATCGAAGTGGTAGAGCAGCAGCGTATTTAGCCGAAGGTTGTTGGTTCGATTAACTAATTGAAAAGAATTTATTTAGTCAATCAGACCATGAAACCAGATCGATTCAATAAGCAAAATGAAGTATGCTTCACTAAAGCTCTCCGTGGCCATTTCATTTGTCACCGAGAATCAAACAGATTACATGACATTTGAAAAATGGCAAAAAGGAGGGAAAATTCCAAAGGTGAGGTTGAGATGAGAAGTGGGTGTCCGAGTGGATCGAAATCAAGATAGCTCTGGTGTTAGAGCAGCAGCGTATTGGGCCGAATGTTGTCGGTTTGAATCCCGCTCGTGACACTGACTTCTTTATTTTAACCAATACCTTACTTAAAGATAAATTAATTGAAAAGAATATATTTGGTTAATCGAAGCAGGAAACCGAATCGATTTAATATTCAAATTAATGTTCACTATACACACCTGCCCAAACAAGGAATTCCCAAACAGATTGAACATTTATTTCTCTAGCCCAATCTGGTTTTTCTTTAAACAAAACAACCCTGCTGCTTAAAAATTTGTCCTCACCAAAGGATGCATTTTTAAAAATCAAGAATTGTCTTCTTTCAGTGCCGAAATCCAGCCTTCTTTGATAATCTGCCAGACGAAGGTGCTGAATGCATTGTAGCTTATAAACAAATAATTTATTTCCCTTTAAATATGGGCTATTGTAGTTTCAGACATTCCTTTTCACAATTTAAATTAGATGAATAAATAGCAGGAAATGATAGTCATTTTTCTAGATACTACTGAAGTTTTTAAAAATCCTTACCTAACCGAGTCGTACCTTTTAAGGCTCCAATGACTTCAAGATTTTCTAGAAATCCAGTGGAAAATTTTTCCACACGGTTGAGGTTGTTGAGGAAAATGCTCTGCGTACAAACATTTCACAACACATGCATTTCTTCCACATTCGTAATAAATAGCCATTTTATCAAAATATTCATCCAAAGAGTACACCGCCTTTCACAATAGTAATTGAATAATTATTCAGAAATCGTGAGATGCGGTCTGGTGTGATGTAGGTTTCAGAAAAACATTTTCTTTATCGTGCCAACGTTTCGATCTTTATTGAGATCATCTTCAGGGCCC